CCGTTCACTCCAAGAGCATGGTGCTCCTATCCACCTCGAGACCCCACAATGGATACAAGGAATTTCACTGCACTTCCTTCAGCATCGTTCCAGCATAAAAATACAGCGGCTCCTGGGATTTTTTTTGCATTTTTGCACAGCAGCGGCAGCAGACACGGCACATTGACAGCACTTATTGACTATACCATACTGCGTTTGCAGGCTGCAAGGGTGCCTATCTACCGTGAACGTACTGAATTTAAATGTGTGGGAAATAAGAAGCAGATACGAGGAATTTCACCCTTTCTAATAAGTCATTTAGTTGCAAGAAAGTGCTTGTCCTTTCTCCCTTTCTATTTATTCGAGCGCTAGAACGACAGTTATACCTTACCACTTCAAGCCAGCCAATACTGTATCCATGACTAGCTGGAAAGTCTCAGCAACCGAACAAAGACCGAATGGCACGACTTCGACCTCAAACAGACCGTCTGGTGTTATGAAAACAATCTTTCCTTCGGTTCTCCCGTTGACTTCAATTTATCAGTAGCCGGTCTTGAGGTTCATTGAAGAAAAGTACTTCACATCTTTTTTTGTGATTTTGTTCAGGCAACAATAATCGATGCAGAATTATAGGGTCCTATCCTTCTTCACTAACACTAGTGATGCCCACGAACTCTTTGAAGGCTGGATGATGTCATGGCATAGTATCTTGTCGACTTGTTTCTTTGTGGTTTCGCATACTCGTGTCACAACTCTGTTCATGCTTCGACAAAGTGGCCCGGCAATTTCTTTTGTTGTGATGCGATGTTTTGCAACTGGTGTCAGCCAAATTCTTGACGACGATCAAAAGCAGTCCTCGTATCGCACGAGCCGAGTATTGAGTTGTTCTTGCTTGTGCATTAGAAGACTCGCCTTAACGTCAAGAGTAGTTCATGAGCTTGGTTTGTCCTAGCAAGCTCAGTTGACTCGGTGCAGGCAAAAGCATTGCTGGCTTCCACATTTCTTCAGTGTAGGCAACGGCCGTGCATTTGCTCATGTGCTTACACTCATTGCTGAAGTTCTTGAGCATCACTGTTGCATTGCCTTCATGCAGCTCAGCTATTCCTCTGAGGACGCAAATCTTGCGCGTGATCAACAGGTGCTGGTCGCCTTTAACAATGCCATACTAGTCTGTTGATATCTGAGTAGCAACAGAAATGCTGACACTGGAGGAAAGGAATATCGTGTCATGGTTTTTTGCACGTTCAAGGCATGCTTTTCTGGCAGCGTGTGCAGTGATAGTGCTTTTTTTAGCGGATAGCATTATTGACTTAGAACACAGGTCGATGACTGCCTCGTGAAGACCTAAAAAGTTCATACCAAGGACGACATCTCTCGAACACCGCTGAAAAACAATGAAACAAAGAAAAATTAGACAACCACCCGTTTGTAGCATGAAGCCACAAAAAAACCCACGGATTTATTTGTGGCCACGGATTTCCTTGTGGCTTTGAGCTACAAATAGTTTATTGTCTAATTTCTCTTTTTAACCCTCCCACCACCTTGAGAATCTCTGCAGAAGCCATTTGAGCTACGAAGTTAGCGGGATGAGTCCAGAAGTTGATGGATACTCTTGCTGTGCAGATTCCCTTCAGCATTACCAGGTGACCTCCAGCTGTCCAGATTCTGGGCCTCCCATCGCCATTTAGACTTTTTTCAACTTCGTAGTGAATTATCCACTGATGACAGAATAATGAGCTTCGGTGTTGACAAGAGCTGTGATGCTGTGGCTGTCGATGGGAATGTCGAGGTTGCTAGTTCGTCCTCTTGCCTTGTAGTTGGGTCGGGACGTCAGATCACAGGGATGTTGGTTTGTTCCACTGGCCTCTAGGTGGCTGGCGCCGTCACGCCTTGTCCCGGTCGCGACCCCTGGGCTTGCTCGGCTTTCAGAGTGCTTTTAAGACATGGTTGGGGTGGCAGAGAATATTTGACATTCCCTCACATCAACTGTACCTCTATTGGTTGCTGCCCTTAGTTTACCTGAGAAGGTCTAGGAGATTGGCCGTGCAGGTCTGGCGTACCGCCTGTGATGCGACAAGCCTTAGTGGCCAGGTAACAGCAAACGGTAAGGTAGTCTGCGATGCCGTGCAGTCGTTAAGCCCTATATAGAAACGGCGCTTTGACGTCAAAAACCTGTGGACTATTCTATCGGTACTGGCAGTAGAGGTAGGTGTGGCTTGCCTCCCTGCAGTAATAACAAAGTGGGCGGTTGTCAGTGGCGCACCAAATGTCGGTTTTCCGTGGTGCATAGTGCTGGCCTACAGGAGGGCGATAAGGAATCGGTGATGGTTGCAGCTGTGGTTTCTGGCAGCGGAATTGCCGTGAGGCGGTGTCCTGATGCGGACGTGGAGAAGCATTGTCACGCACTGCAGTGGCGTAGCTCATAGCTTTCGGCTGAGGCAGTAGTGCTTAGAAAATTCCAAGCAATTGCCGAACTTTCTCGTGGACAATCTTCAGCGATTGAATCCGCTTCAGGCTGCACCGAAGACAACAGCTTGCACTGCTTCTTCCGCACAATCGCTCGCATGTTCTCGTGCAGGTCATCAGAGCTGAGGGCTTGAACTTTCGTGTATTGCGTCGTCAGTGAGTGGCGGTTGTACAGCCTTGTCTGCACCTCAAGCATCTTCTCTATAGTGGCCTCTATCTGGAATTCGTCGACGCTCTTGGGGGGTTACAAACAAATCCCGCAAACAGCTCTCGCTTGATTACTTGCATCAGGAACTGGAGCTTCACCTCAGACATGGTGTGGTCAACGTGACGGAGCACAAAGTTATTTCTTTAGTGTACATGCCGATGTTCTATCTTGGGAGCTGTACATAATTTTCTAGCAGGGTTTCCCCCTTTCCAATTTATGCACGACATTTGTGAAGGTTCCAAAGAATGGGGAGCGAAATACTTGTGAGGATGGCATTTCTTCTCGAAACAAGTCCTGGCTCCATCTTCATAAAAAAGTGTACATGACGAAGTTTCTCGTCACAGTCCTAGTTACTAAAATGGGCAACAGATTGTATTTTTTTAACGAGCTTTCCAGGTGTGTCCATGAAGATCCACAAAAAGTCAGCGGTTTTCTTGATCAATTCATGATAATTCTTTGAGGTGACACAGCAGCCATCATGGCGCCTGTCCTCTTTGTGGTCGTGGCACTGGGCTTGTCACGCAGGAGTCTGAATAGTGGTGGCAGTCCTTGTAGTCTGTGGCTAGCTTGACTCTCCTTGGTGGGGTCTGTTCCTTTTTGGCCACTGACTTGGGCTGGGTTGCCGGCTCGATGGGGACAGTCGTAACATGAACGAACAGCACCCCTACCTAATGTCACCTGGTCATGACATTGACGAAGGAAGCGGACTGTATTTTGAAGATAAAACTGTATATTTGGCCGCACTTGTGGCCGGTAATCAGAAAGTCAGATAACAGAGATACAAAACTGGCACTGATAGTGACAAACAGAGCGTCGACTGTCGATCAACTGATCTGCGGTAGCACGCGTCAACATTTATATGTGGGCCATCAAACATTCAAGCAATATCGCTGTTGACCAAGTTTGTTTCAAAATAAACTCAGCTGCTCACGTTTGTGCACTCGAGCCGAAAAGATAAGAAAAAAACGATCTAGAATGATCTTAGACATTCTGGCACGGATCGCGCAAGGCAGTATTTACATGTGCGATACACCGAGAAAATAAACTAGCAAGAGCAAAGTGTGTGGTAACATATACTTGATGTGAGCTTGTCATTTCAAATCAGGAGAGAAAGTAACACCATGATATTTTAATATGTCGACACTTGTGAACACGAGTTCCTGACTAAAATATGTAAACTTTAACGGCTGCCTTTTGTTCTCTTCTGTGCTTGCTATAACGCAACACGCAATCACCTGCCAAGCCCCTCGCATGCCCATATACAGTATGAAGCTTTCAGCATGCCATCTGTCTTACCAATGAAAAATAGCTATTAAGCATAATTCTGCATATTATCCATGAAATCTTTGCCCATGGCAAAATCTCATTACTACTACCTTTCAGGCACGAGCCTATGCTTCATTTGCCTATGAAGCCAATTTACCAATAACGGCCTGCACTGCCTATAAACTACTTACGCTTATGTGCAGGCCGTTACCAATAACGGCCTGCGCTGCCCCAACAACCTACTTACACTTATGTGATTGCTAGGTCAGCCCAGCAGTCCTTGCCTACAGCTCAACTTCTGATGCCAATTAACTTATTCCTCCATTTTAGTGTGTTAAGAATGTGGCAGTACTCTTTCAAATTAGAGGTGAGGAGAATTAGAAGCTTTTCCTGCCGTCAATTCTTAATACTGTGCAAGCGCATTTTCACCATGCACACACGAGTGTGGCCAGCCTCTCCTGTCTATTGACATGCGCCAAGGATGTGACAAAAAACTGTCAGCAGGCATAAGTTTCAAGGCGGCACCATGAAAACTTAATGAATCTTTCTTTGACACCCAGCTAGTAATACTTCTTAGAGTTTAACATTTCAAGACCCCCATATGATTATGAGAGACGCCGTAGTGGAGGCCCCGGAAATTTCGATCACCTGGGGTTCTTTATTTTAAATAAATGGGCCTTAAGCGGCAGCTGTGGCTGAGATTCGATCCCGCGACCCGCAAGGCAGCAGCTGAGTGCCTTAGCCACTAGACTACCGTGGCGGGTCTTGACACCTAGCTGCCCTCACCAGCTAGGTTAATGACTTTCTCAGCCCTTTTGCGACTTTGTGGCATGTACCACTAAGCTGCACATCTCTGACTTTAATAGTGCTGCTCCACGACAGCAAAACTATGCAAACAATGTAAAAAAGTGTAAATTAATATAATCTACAAAAGGAGTGAATGGATCAAATCAATGAAGCAGTGCTATTTTTATCAAGGCTATGGCAGACTCATCTGTTGCTTTTCCATGCTCATGGCACAGCATTTTTGTAGGTCAGTGGCAAATCGGAGAATTTTGAAATGTTTCTATAAGGTACTCACCGGTCCAGATGATTGGTGGTCATAAAGACAACTCGTGCCTCCGCAGAGGCTACCCCATCCAGCATGTTGAGCAGACCACTAAATGTCACTCTGCTGAGGCCCTCATAGGCTGCCTTCACTGCAATGCACGAAAACAGTTCGCTGTGATGCCTTCACAGATTGCAAGAGAGCTAAAATCTCAATATAAAGAAGTTTAAAGTGGCTTGATTGGTTCATTTTGTTAAAGGGATAGTGACATAAAATTTCACTGCCGAGATAGCCTGCAGGGTCGATTCCTGTGAACATTTGCATATCATCTGCACAATATCGAACAGCGAAGATAGCTTGGAAAGTACTTTAAATTAATACTGAAATTTGCATGAGTGCTCAACTCCATCATGCCACTGACAACCTCAAACGGAACCCTTTGTGGACCCCCTACTTCCCTATCCCTCCCACACTGCAAATAATAAAAGTTATGATGACGTCATAGCCGCCATTTTCTCTCTGCCACGTCTGCTTCCGGAGTCTATACTTCTCAGCGGATGGTTGCAGTGGCACACGCTTTGAAAGTTTAGTGTTTGAGGACACTGCAGTCTCGTTTCCTATTCGAAAGTAATAGGGCCTAGCAACTTGGCGCTCTTTAGCCTGAGTTGCCTTGGTGCCACTAAAACCTATCATCATTATCATCATTGAAAGTAATTCTTGATGCAGACCGTGTGTAAGTGTGCCACAATTCTGTGTGCTGACGAGCTGCACACGCTAGGTGGCAATAGTTGCACCTGGTTTGTGGAGCTTTCTCAAACCGAAACTTAAACTGGTTGTTGATAATGGGGCTGTAGTTAATTATCTATTGCCTGAAGCTGCAGACGATCTGCTGTGTCATGACTAACAGGGCCCCAGCAAAACATCGCAGCAGAAAAATACGAGGCCAAGGTTTTTGTGTCAGTACCCTTTTAACTCTTTTGTTAGCGCGCGAAAACATTTGTTTTTCATGCGTCTCGGGAAGACTGTTTTTGGCAGTTTGAAAAGTATTCCGGCACGCATTGCAGCACACTAAACTTTGCACAATGAAATGCTCTTTAAAATAAAATATATGTAGTAGAGCAACAAAGATATTTTAGAATGAAAAAAAGTGTGAAATGTGGGAACATTTGGTTCCCAGCTGGTAAACAGCGCAATAAAAAACGCTATACACTCGAACTTCACTATAACGAAGTTGAAGGGAAGCCACAATTGCTTTATTATGTCCATTATTTCGTCATATCGATTATAACAGTTTGTGGCAATGTATGCTCAGATGGGCGCACATCCATAAACATGCAAAGAAGAAAACTGCCTCAAGGCCCAATGTAACGCTACGCGACCACGCGTGCCACGGAAAATAAACTTAGTCGAATCTCATTCATTCGAACTTTAAGGTAATTCGAACTCACGCTGAGATCCCGTCAAAACTATGTGTATTTCAATGGGCGAAAACGCCCTGTAATTCAAATGCGCAAGTGCTTGCAACGGTTCATTCGAACATACCACGCTCCGAAAATGCTCTCAGCACCATGCCCAGTACCGCGGCGGCACCTCTCAATGCTGCGCGCTAAGAAGGAAAAGAAAAAAGGAAAGAAGGAACGAAAAGACTGTGGCAGATCATTTGCTCTCTCTCAAATGCCAATCTATGATGCGCCTGTGCCATGCTTCTCCTTTTTGCGTTTCTGCACGTAGAGACCTTTCTTCTTCCAAGATCGTGCGTGGAGAGAAAGCAAAAAAAAAAAAAAAAAAGCTGTCCCGGAGAGTTCTCCTTTTTCGGTGCAGAGGGTAGCAGTCAAGGTAGCTGCGGAGAGCAGTCGTTGCCGTATTGAGAGAGAAAGAAATCGCTTTGCACCATGGTGCCGCTTCTCGGTCATGTGACTGCTGAGCACTTCCTCAATCCTCTCCACTGGCTGTTTGAGGAGGACGGCTCTCTCGGCAGTGCGCGGCGTGGCTGTAGGGTCGGGGCGCAGGAGTTTTAAAAGAGGCGTGCCGAACAAGTGTCAAACTCCACAGAAAACGATATACTTAACACACTACGGTCGGTTATTTTTAAAAAAACTTTTTCATAGACTAATTTAGTTTGTTATATCCATTATTTCATTATATCCCATTGCATTATAACGAGGTTTCAGTGTATATGCAGAAATAGTTCTAAGAAAGAATATTCAGAATATATGTAATTTGTAGATAAATGGCCCAGGAACAGTATACAAAATAATGAATTTTGTTCAATATGTTTCTCTTCCCATAGAAAAATAAAATCAGAGCCGAGGCGCTGCTTCGTTGCTTGTGCCATGTGGTGTGGACCACGCACGTAACCAGAGTCGCTGTAAGATTATGCAGAAAGGTCAGAAGCTATACGCACTTGCGGCGGAGGAGACAACTTGAGGATGTAAACAAGACAAACCCATGAGCACCGGCAGATGTCTCAGGCTGACGCAGAACATTGTCGCCATAATACTTGAAGCTGAGGTGCTGTGATCCTCGAACTCTAATCTCGTCCGCACTCAATTCAGATGGAGTCGCAAGACAGTTTTGACCAGCACATTATTACAACCTGTCTCGAAGACCATAGACAAGAGGGAGGGCCGAGGCGCCGCTCTCTAACTAGGATGACCCCAGATGCATGGTGGAGTAACAGCTACAGACTGCCGAGCAGCGCTTGACCGTGTTTATTATTGAAGAACGACCAAGGTTGCCTGCCGAACATGGCGAGGTAATGAAACTAGGCTAGGCAGGGCCCCACATGCTTGTTACACCTCTCACCCGCAGTTATTGTACACAAAATAAAAAATACAAGCCCCAGCCAATTTGACGTTCGTTTAGGTAAACGAAAAGCGATCTGGTGCCCTTCGATGTCGATTGCTTTGCCTGGGTACAGGTGTTGAGGGACTAGGTGTGTTAGCGCTAGTTGCTGCCTGAGCTGCTTTTGATGCCTCCTGAGACTCTGCCGTGGTTGGCAGAGATGGCACTGAACTTGCCGGTGGGCCAACTAGAGGCGCACAACTGGAGGTGCCTGTTCCTTGCAAAATGCTTGTCTCACTAGCTGCATTTGGTGGTGCCGTGGATGCAAGCCCAGTCCCACGATTAGCCTTCACATGATCGGTGCCATGTGGTTTCATCCTGAATTCGTACGAGCAGAGAGGAGCTTACAGGCGAGACCACTTGTCCAGCATACCAAGGTGGGCCAGAATGGATATTCCTGGCAAATAATGGAATTCCAGGTTCAGGCAATAGCCCAGGACGACACCCTATGTCAGTAGCCAGCAGTTTCTGTTTGAGCTGTTTGAAGAGCGCCGTGGTCCGGAGGTCTGGGTGCAGAATGTCCAACGGTGTCTTTCCCACATGTCCCAGCAAAAGCTCACAGGGAGCACGGCCGGTGACATCATGAGGTGTAGTCCGATACTGGAAGAGTATGCGGGTGATTTGCGTACAGAAATCCCGAACCTGGCTATTCTTAAGTTTGTCCTTAATAGTCTGCACCACCCGCTCAGCTGCACCGTATGAAGCAGGGTGGTACGAAGGAACTATCAATAGGCGGATTCCGTTCTTTTTCAGCCAGGCCAGATACTCTCCGCTGGCAAAAACGGGCTCATTATTGGCGACTATGATGTCCGGTAGCCTCTGGGCTACAAAGATCTGCTGCAGTGCTGCAATGGCTGCACCTGCTGATGGAGTGGTGACAGGTATAACCTCCACCCTCTTCAAAGATGCGTCAGCCACCACCAGGAAGTAGTGGCCTTTGAAGGGGCCCCCAATATCCACATGAAGGCAAGACCAGGACCTCTGGGGGAATGGCCATGGAGTGATGCCCACACACATGACGTGAAGCCCGTTGATGTTCCTGGCAGACTTGGCAGCTCCACACCATGTGAGCGATGTCCTGGTCCAGTCCAGGCCACCAAATGCGGGCCCGAGACACCATTTGACCAGGACCTCTGGGGGAATGGCCATGGAGTGATGCCCACACACATGACGTGAAGCCCGTTGATGTTCCTGGCAGACTTGGCAGCTCCACACCATGTGAGCGATGTCCTGGTCCAGTCCAGGCCACCAAATGCGGGCCCGAGACACCATTTTGTCTTTTCCACACCAGGATGCCCCGGGTGCAGCAAGCGCAGGACCTTGACCGGAGACTTTGTGGGATCACCACCTTGGAATCTCAACGTAGGCAGCCCTGATCCAGGCTCAGCTCAGCGGCCTTGTGGCTGTAGGGCTGCTGCACCAACTCCTCCCCTCGGGATACTGCTTTCACCACCTGGAACAGGGCCGGGTCCCCCCTGATCGCACATAACACAGCAGACCTGGAGATTATCTCTTGATACGCATGCTCCAGCATGAGCACTTCAGCTGGCTGTGAAACAGCAGCAGGCACCTCTGGCAGAGGCAACAGGCTCAAGGCATCAGCAGACCCCAGATCCTTTCCCGGATGATACACACCAACTGGCAGCTGTAGGCTGCCAGCTTCAAGGCCCAACGTACCACTCAAGGTGATGCCTGCACAGGGACCGCCTTGAAAGGCCCTAGTAGCCCCAGCAGTGGTTTGTGGTCCTTCACTGCCTCGAACTTTCCGTCCCACAGGTACTGGTGAAAACGCTCGACGCCAAACATGAGGGCGAGGCCTTTCTTGTCCAGCTGGCTGTAACGCTGCTCTGCTGTGTGAAGACAACGAGAAGCAAACGACACTGGGCGTTCTTGGCCATCCTTGTCTCTGTGCAATAGCACGGCTCCTACACCGTATGGTGATGCATCTACATTAAGAACAACAGGCTTGGCTGGATCGAAGTGCACCAGCACCAGTGCCTTGGTGATTAGCTGTTTACTGTGCTTAAAGACCACATCATGCTCCTTCTTCCACGCCCAGTCCTGGCCATCATGATGCAGAATATTCAGTGGCTGCAGATGCGGAGACAGGTTGGCCAGGAACCTCCTGTAAAAATTGATGAGGCCAAGGTAGCTTTGCAGCTCGTTTCGGGGCTTTGGCCCCTTCAGAACAGCCTCAACTTTGCGGGGGGCCGGAGTCAGGCCGGCCTGAGAGATGACGTGTCCCAAGTATTCTATACTGGGAATCATGAACATGCACTTTTCCCGCTTGAGTTTGAGACCAGCATT